ACTATATATTATATATAATTATATATATGCTCTTGGTCTCTTTTACTTCTCTTTTCCCTCCCCCCATCTCTATTCCTTTATTTATTGCTTCTCCAACTCACCTCACAATCTGTTTTCTACAAAACCAGTCTCCTGAGAAACTAAAACTTTAGGGCAGTGACTAAAATCTCCTGAGGCTTAAAAGGGTTTTTTTCTGCCCTAAAGGTACAGCTTTTCTCTTATCTGTCCACATCTCACCCTCTTCCCCACCCTACATCATTCAGTGGAGGACCACAAATAGTAAATTCTTTGGTGATGAGTAATTTTTGCCTGTGTCTCTCAAAAGAAGAATGTAAATTTATTTTCCTCTTCAGTCTTTGAAGTTTTTGGTTTGTTTTGTTTTCAAGACAGGATCTTGCTATATAGTTCAGATTGGCCTTGAACTTACTATTTAGGTCTGTCTGGCCTCAGACTCAGCAATCCTCCTATCTCAGCCTCCATATGCCATCACAGGAGTCTAATTGAAATTTTGAGGGGAATTCACACATAAATATAATCACTTTAAAGTCTTGTTCCATGGCATTTGGTACGTTGTGTGGATTACAAATATACCACCACCTCTGTTTAAAACATTTTCCCATGCTCTAAAATAAAACCCAGAATCAGCTGGATGTGGTGACACATGTGTATAATCACAGTATGCGGGAAGGCTGAGGCAGGAGGACTGCAAGTGCAAGAGCAGCAACTGAGTGGCTTAGTGATACCTTGTCTAAAATAAAAATTAAAAACTGGTTGGGGATTTACTTCAGTGAGAGATCCTGAGTTCAGTGTCCAGTAGTGAAGGAATAATAACAAAAATACAGGCTCTCATCAAACAGCCATTCCATATTTCCCTCTTTCCCTAGACCCCTGGAAATAGCAGTCTTGATTTTCTCTATGTATTTACCTATATAAATATTATATATACTATAAATGGAATCATGTATCTTGTCTCTTTTCATTCAGCCTGTGTTTGAGATTCATCCCTGTTGCAGCATGTGTCTGTATTCCATTCCTTTTTATGGCTATTATTGTAGGAATATACTAAATATTTTTATCCATTTATGTGTTGAGTGGGGCACCTGGGCCATTTCTACCCTCTGGTTACTATGAATAGAGCTGCACTGAAAATTTCAGTTACAGTGGACCCTTGATTGGTACCTGAGGGCTGGTTGTAACTCAAGTTGGTTGTAAGTCAACATAGTTGAGATCTGGATGTTTACCTCGGTACTTGCTACAGATAAAAAGAGACAGATGAATCTTTCATTAACTTAATTAACCCAAGTTGTTCATACATCAGGCCAGTAATAACTTGAGGGTCCCCTGTGCTTGTTTGGGGAGCGTATTCAGCTGGAGCCTGTGCAGGAGCAGAAGGGCCAATCGTGTAGTAACTCTGACTCCTTAAACAGCCACCTAATTCTTTTCCATTTTCCACGCTCATCAGGATTGTGCACATTGTTGCTGTCACTTTTCTATTTTAAAATAAAAGTATATAATAGCTCATCCTTGATTCTGAATTCTGATTTGTCTGCTTCTCACAAATGTATCTGCCTCTTGGTATTTTTCTCTCCTCCATTCTGTTGGGCTTAAATTAGATAGCCAGATAACCACTTCTCAAATTATTCAATTTTGTAGTTCTGTTCTGTTTTTTGTTGTGGTACTGGAGATTAAAGCCAGGGCCTTTGCACTGAGCTACATCTACAGCCCTTTTAAAAATCTGAGGCAGGGCCTCTCTAGGTCCCAAGGTTGTGTGGATTGGGTTTGAATTTGGGATCATCCTGGCTCAGGCTTCTAGAGTGCTAGGATTACAGGCATGCATCACCATACCTGGTTTAAGGAAAACATCTTAATCACCTTTAGCTATTTTCCATGTTTCCTCATGCTGACAGTTTTCACAGTCCTCTCATTAACCTCCTTCATTCTTTGCTTCCTGCCCCTTAAATGCCAGATAATCATTTCTGATCTGTGGGCAGCTTGCCAGTCCACACTGCTCAGCACAATCTATCCACATACCTCTGAAGCAGAGGGAGTAATGTTGAAAGTTGGTAGTGAGAGATGAGGGGGAACGGACAGCACTTCTCAGTTGTGGAGGCTATCTCATGTTTCCATCCCTGCAACTCCCAGATAAGTATGCTAAAAAAACCCTTGAAACTCAAGGCTCTATAGTTACAGCTTTTCAGGGTACAGCTTCTCCCTCTAATGCTTTCCCATATGCTAATTTTTTTTCAATAAGTTTACTGGTACTTTTTAGGTATACAGTACACTTACATACATCATTGCGATCTTGTACCTTTACATGACAGACCTTGGTTCTTATTTTTTCCCCATATCCCTGCCCTCCTTCCACCCTTCCCTATTTAGAAAGACTTTATTTCCATTTTTTCATTTTCTCATATTTTTTCTTGTCCCTTATTTCCTTTCTCCTACCCTTCCCACTTCCCCTACTCCTTTAGCCCCTTTCTTCCTATTTCACATTGTCAGTTATACAATTTGAACCTTATTTGCACTTTCAGTTTTTCACACCAGAGAAATTATTTGATATTTACATATGTGTGTCCTATTTATTTCACTTAACCATATGCTAAAATTTAAAGCTCTGGAAGAGTTGCATGTTGTCTAAATCTGTTAGTATTAGGGAATCAAGATGTTAACTAGACATGAATGAATTACAGAGTCCTTCTGGTAGAACCCACAGGTGCTGAAGTTACTCTGGGATTATGTTTGTAGCACACTTAGTGATAACACCCCATATTTCATATGAGAACTATGCTGGGCATGGTGGTGAGCACCTGTAATCCCAGCACCCAGGAGGCTAAGGCAGGAGGATTGCTGTGAGTTCCAGCCCAGCCTGGACTACATAGCGGGACCCTGTCTCAAAAAATGAAACAAACAAACAAAAAATATGAGCACCGTATGGCTAAAGTCAATACCCACAGAGTGAATACTGAAAAACTCTGGATGTATGTTTTGTAGAAAAATGGCTACAATAGCCAGGTACGGCTAAAGCAATATCATTGTATTAAAAGTGACTGGAGAGGGCTGCAGGTATCAGCCCAATGGTAGAGTATGTGAAAGTACTAGCATGTGTGAGGCCTTGGGTTTGATCCCAGTACTGT